AGGATTTATCCACCTGTCGACTTTGTAGTTGCTGGCTTTCAGATTGGGTCTCAAATCTTTCAGATTGACGTTCTGTTTGTTGATGATCAGGTTATTTCTGTTTCTTGGTTTCCTTCTGATAGTCTGGCCCCTCTGCTGTAGGTCTGCTGAGGTTCACTCCAGGCCCTGCTTGTCTGGGGTTCAGCTGCAGCAGCTGGTGAACAGCAAGGGTTGTTACCAGTTTTCTTCTTCTGCTATCTTTGTCCCAGAAGGATACCCGCCTCGTGTCAATCTGATCTCTCCTTTATGAGGTGTCTCTTTGAATATATAGGGGTCAGGGAGCTGCTTGAGGAGACGGTCTCTTCTTTATAGGAGTTCAAATGGTGAGCTGTGAGCTCTGTTGTTGTTCATTCAGAGCTGCTGGGCAGGTAAGTTTAGGTCTGCTGCAGCAGAACTCATAAACTGCTTTTTGTTCCCAGGTGCTCTGTCCCAGGGATTTAGGGCTTTATTTATGAGTTTCCATTATGCTGCTGCCTTCTTTTTTTTTTTTTTTTTTCCTTCAGACCTGCCCAGCCCAGCAAGGAGTCAGCCTAGTCACTGTCGCCCTGTAGAGGCTTTGCTGGGCTGCTGTGGGCTCCGCCCCACTGCCAAGTGAACTTCCCTGCAGTCCTGTTTATTTATATGGGTGTAGTTAGAACTGCTTTGGCGATGGTGGCCCGCCTCTGTTGAGGTGGAGTCTCTTTGCTGTGGCGGGTTGCCTTGGCAACGGTGGGCTGCCTCAGCAATGGCGGACACCCCTCCCCCACAGAGCTGGACCATCGCGGGTTCAGCTGCGCTTGCTGTGAAAGTCTCAATCCAGAGTTTCTGGTTGCTGTTCTTTTGTGGGAGTGGGGCCAGCCGAGCCTGATCGCCTGGCTCCCTGCCTCAGAGCCTTTTTTAAGTTTGTGTTCCAGTCGCCTGTTGAAGAGGCGCCGGGGTCTGTTTGTTTTCCCCTGCGGCCACTCACTGCGCTGGCTTAAACAGCGGCACTGAGGTTTGTGGCGCCTTTTTTTTTTTTTTTTGCCCTGGAATCTACTGTCCTGGT